GGTCTACATGTTGTTTTGAGTGCAATTAAATGTGATTTTCTTGTCTAATATGTCTTAGATATATCAAAAACGTATGACAGCTAGTAAGCAGAGACGGACAGTGGCTAGCAGTGGGAACGAGGACGCGTGTCCTGTCCTATTTAGGAGTCCTCGGTTCGATGCGCATATATCCTACAGTTGATGTTCACTATAGAACTCAAACTCAGTACAGTTTACTTCAAGTACCACCGCGTTATCCAGTTAGTTACTGAGTCCATCTAGTCATAGGTTGTGACATGGTGTGAAGTTTAATTCATTTGTATTGGTTGTTTGAATCTTTCAATTTATGTTTAAGACACTGAGTTTGTGACTCAAAGTAATATCAAGGTTATCCACACAGGATGCACATATACCAATAAGATACTAATCAACTTTAGTTCCTAACATTAATGGGAACATTCAAATGAAAATGAATATATGATAACTAAGTTGCATCATTAATTCTCTAATAGTAGGCATTCAAAACTGGTTGTACCTACTAATACTGTTTATATGTAAAATGAGACTCTAGTTTACTCTTCAAAGCGTACTATCTCTGTTGTATAATTGTTCATTCCATCAACCATTCATTATTAAAACAGATGTTATTTGCCTAAATTTAAGATTCTAGGCCAATGGAGTGTCTGTCATGTTAGAGTTTTATTTACGGCCATATAAAGTTACTCAATGCTTGAATCAATGTATAAATTCCATTCCATAAGCTTATTTCCAAAGAAATGTGAATGAACGTTAGATAAATTCAAACGAATACCATCTATTAACAGCTTCTTTGAGTGTGTGGGGGGGGGAATTAAATATTATCATTTTATTAGTTTCATAACAACAATTCAATGAAGTTAGTTTTCTTACTAATCAGCACTTCATTAACGCTATTTACATCAGTCATGTTTATGGATATTCGATCCAAAAATTAGGTTAATTCAATTAACTTTGTATAACTAAATGATTTGAACAACTTAGTTACTGTGATTGCCACTGGTGTTTTAATAGAAAAGTCACAACACGAAGTAGCATAAATTAATTTTATTTCAAACGCACTAGTTCTCAAATAAAACCAAATAGACAAGGAGTGAGTTGATGGAACGACTCATCAACTATATTTTAAATGTTATTTAGTAAATATTAAATAGCTGGTATAGTTGTACGCCTGTTTTTCAATGTTTAATATATGTGCATGATCAAGCATTTTCGGGGAATTTCTCGTTCGTTTGTTAGGGATTGATGCGTACAAGAGCATAGTTTTCACTGGAGATTTCATTTCAAACATTTCAGGTTATTCACCTTTGTCTGTTATTAACGTGTCACTATAGGGTAGCATCCTGAATAAAAAGCAGATAAGGTGGAAGCAAAAACGTGAAGTAAAATCCTCAGAGTATATCGTCCTTGTATATTCACGATTCACCCACTAAGTGAATGGGTAGATGCCTGATATTGCACATTAAAAAATCAGTAAATAACCTATTTCTAAGATAACCGATAGTACTCCAACTAAGCAATGAACTGTTAAATGCTTGTGTTTGGCTTTTAAAACACGCCTCAATTGTGTGTGTATTCTAGGTGAATAACGGGTGCGCTACAAGATCTATAGGCACAGCTTACAATATCCGTTGGGATTTACTAATTTTAAGATATTGACGAGAGTTTACTCGTGTTAGCCTAGGTTTTTATTGGACGGGTTAAGTAATTATTCAGGCAGACTAGCCAACTAGAACTCGAGAATATATCAGAATTTCGATTGAGGTGTTTTTTTCCAGCTGATGGTTAAAGAAGTGCAGGTTAGCAATTACCCTAACAGAAACAACCTCCACAATTTCAGTATCAAATAAGTGTGGAAGTGTCGAACATTATATCGTTCGGTTTTTGTCCAAACTATGGTGGGTGGTGTTAAGAAGTGTACAGATGAACTTGCCTAGTAGTATTTTTATTAATTAATCTTAGAAGGACATTTCAACAAATGAATGATCATATAAGGGTAATGAAGCTAGGCGACTTATGTTTACTTCATGAAGTCATTTACGTTTGTGTGGTTCATGGAAGATAAACATTCACTGTTTCGAACACTTCTGGTTTTGTGTTACATTTACAAGAGAGTTTCAGAAATAACATTATTGTTTTGGCTGTCTGTATTTTCATTTCAGTGTCCTATATTTATGTTTCTTGTTCATAGTACCAAAGAAAGGTATAAGAAGCTTTTTGAAACTTATTTGCCAAATTTTCGAGATGATTAAAAGGTAGTTTCAAAAACCCTTGAATGAGAAAATGGACCCATTAAAAAAATCTCGTTGTTGAGTTACTGACTTGAGCCTGTTGCCTCACGTCAGACGTAGGTTACCGAATGGAGGATCCCATGAACAGTTTATTCTAAACGGTATATTTGCTCCGATGACTGTCATTTTGATTTGGATCAACATGTCGAATGACAAATTGAGTTAAGGCAACGGAACATCGATTTGCTTTTCTTACAATTACAAGATTGAGGTGATAGTGTTTTCTTGTTCTTTCTTAAGTGGAATCTGTCATTTAATTTATAAGATCCATCATTCATTAATGAGACAGATATGGTTTAAAACAATGAACAAACATTTATTTCAGATATATAGTCAGTTACATTCACTGGATTACACATGAAGGATTTTTACATAAATTAAAATACATAATCAGACAACTTCAAATTATACAGCGTTTCCTGATAAGGAAAGCTTATTGCTTGTCAATCATTAGTAATATATTTTCAACTTAATAAGTTTCCTCTCATGATATATTCATGTGTTATTGAAAGGCTTAAGCATTATGATTATATATAACTCTAAAGCTTTCTGTCTACTGATACAAATAACATTTAAACTGAAGAAAAATAGTTAGCATTTCAAATGGCCCCCAAATGCCCTGGTACGGCCGAGAGTCCGCTCTCCCTCTCCAAATGCTCTTACATGGTCACGCGAATATATAGCCTCTGCTACGGAAGTTCTACTGACTGCCTTCTCACAGTGGCATTACTGTTGATTACGAAATCGAGAGAACGAAAAGCTCTTTAACCGGGTTGGTGGACACGGGGGGTCCACCTAGGGGAGTTGGAAAACCCCCATTCCAAACAAATGGCGCACATGGACTGGCTCCAGTATTATGGGGGAACAAATGGCGTATGAATAAATCGTTGGTCACCGGCTACCATGGAACTGCATCTCCTTACGATGCTCCACTGCCTTGTGGATCAGACCTTCAGGTCAAAGGCTCGGGGAGTGGCTCCCTAAGAAAACCAATTGTTTCAGTCTGGGCACCTGAGCAGTATCACAGCCCTCACACAAATCAAATGAGATTTGTGAGGCGTATATTTATCTGGTGCTTCCATGTACCAATATTTATGTGTTTAAATAAAATAAAATATTTCAGATAATATCATTTAGGATGGTTAATTTATCTACACTACCATATAAAGTTACGTAAACTATTCTATCACAAAGAAGTGAATAACTTAGGGATTGAAGCTATGTTGAAATTATTTGTTTACTTTGTAGTTAAATAATGCTTAACCTCTAGACCACTGAACTGGCATCCAGCGGTGTTTATGTTTAACTTCAATCAACCTATGATCTTGCTCAATCCTTCATCGATTGTCTGAAGTGAGTAACTGTTTCACACCCCACATAGATTGGACGCAACTGGTCACGGCTTCATTTTATAACTTCAGCAGTTTCATCTTGAAGCTAATCACCGAATTCAACTGTGAAAATACTAAAATCTCCACAAATTCCCATACTGATAATAATCTAATTATGTTTGCACAACTTCCAAATTTTCAGTAATTTCAATCGATATTAGAATGTCATTAAAGGCTATTACGAATTGAACGGTCTCTACAAAAATAAATCAACCCTAAATTATAGTTCAATTTTTCAATTACAGGCAAAAACGTTTGAAACTATTCGGAAAACGTTTACAGAAAGTATTTTATTCACCACTCAATATAAAGGTATCAATATTATTAAAACATTTGGATTATGCATTTCATTAAGGATGTTATCCAAGGTATTTATTTATAAATTTAATAAAAACCACCATTTAAACTATTTTTATATCACATGAAAAATTGAAACTTGTCTCTAAAAATCTATGTTTATAATTATTAACAACTGATTACAACTTCATTTAGTACCCGATCGTTTCTGCTAACTTGACGTAGTGGTCGGGCTTGCCTATCGTGATGAATCGATCAAGATATACTGGCTAGAACAATCGTTACTCATGGTCCTACCATGCCAGGCAGGTCGGTTGAAGAGCGATAAAACTAAAATCAGCAAACCCAAGGTCCGAGGACGAAGTCCTAATGCTGATTGTAAAGAAGTGTGACGACAGTAAGTTGTTTCCCTCAGACAACCAGAATCTTCAGCGATGTTGCCTTCCCACAAAGAGGGTTGGGGTTAGAAAAGGTCAACCCTAAGAATGCACACCTCACTTTATCCCATGGATTCCCGTCTCATCGGTAAAGTCCCAACAAGTACGGAGCTAACACAAAAATAATCCTTAAAAAGGTCTTGTGTGACCGTCCTCAAACAGTTGTCCCATGAGCACTTCGATTACGCTCTCAGGTCAGTAAGACGACCTCTAATACAATTTCCTTTTCAGGTATCTGCAGAAGAAGGTGCGTGCAGCTGGTAAATGATAACTATCCTAATCCCTCTAACAGCACTCAAGATCACTGTATTCATAATTAATTCATCTAATAGCACATCAAATAGACATTCGAAGGAGTTCCCATTTACTTCCAGAATTAACAATTTCATCGGTATGTGTTAAAAAACAATGATTATTTCCTAAAATCTTAAATGTTTCTTTTTACTAACATCATTTAACATTACTTAGTATGATCTATTCCTCTTTCATCCAAATCGTGTGAACCTTCAATTATCTTATTCCAAAGTTATTGTCTATAAATGATATATGAATCAAAAAAAAAAAAAATTGACAGAAACATTTCAATTGATGAAAGCAAATGATAAAGAAATAAAAACCATTTTTTTTGGTATCCGTTTAGGAAAAAAAAAAGAAAAAAGAAAAGAAAAACACACTTTTCTCATTGCTCTTTGACTTCTTTTTTTTTTAATATTTTAATAATTATATTTCTCTATTTCATTTTTGTTAATATTAAGATAATAATTTGACAATCAAAATAGACAACAACAACAACAACAACAATAACAGAGAAAAAAGAAGGTAAGATTAGCAAACAAACTTAGCCGAGAGAAAAGAAAGACACAACTCCTTTTTTTTTTAAAGAAAAAAAAGGTTAAGAAGAATCAACTAAAAGAAAATGCATCAACATCAATAACACAGTAAAAGTTCAGCACAATCTTCTAACAGACTGGAAACAAAAAAACAAAAAAATCAGATTAAAGTGAACTTTCTAAATGTGCAATTGTATACGTGCAAATGAGTATTTGCATACGTTTTTTTTTTTAAAAAAAAATCTGTGCATATACATTAAAGAAAGCTAATCTTGTTTTGGCTTTAACAATTACCGAATGAATAAGTAGTCAGCATCGAAATGGACAGAAAAAAAAACAAACAAACATAGAATGTTTGTTTGTTAAAATGGAGAAAAGCGTCAATGACAACGTAAAAAAAAAGACTACTAAAGAAATTCTGCGAAAGTTCAAATTGTTAGTTGAATTAATAAAACAGATAGTTGAGAATTATCTTCACTGTGCAGGAATCATCTTTTCTAGTTCAAGGTGTATATATATATATATATTAATGAAAAGTGTTTCTTCACCTACATTCTAATAGTCAAGATCATTGTGTGCAATGTATACTTAAATAAATAGCTAATTGAATTGGGAGGCAAAAGAAATAGTCAGTGATAGAAAGAATCATACTACAGAAAGACTTTATGAACAATTGATAGCCAATGTTAACAGATAATGAAAAAAAATGTAATAAAGACGACACAATATATTTCTCATATATACTACTACTACTACTACACTTGCACATATAAATTCATCAAACGTGATAAATTACAGACATAAATGAAATGTCAATGTTATTCTCATAGTTTCATGTTATCATTGACATGCATACACTTTGTGAAGTAGAATACGTATACCCTTTAAAGATATTGAGCAATAAGTCTCGATAATTGACATCAATGGAGAGTTATCGCATCAGAAAAAAGTTAACATGAATAACATTTGCATAACGGTTGGATTGATTGTTTGTTCAACCGAAAATATGTATTGAGTAGCCGTTCTCAATACATTCAACAATTGCTGTACAAAAGCGATAAAAATTTGTTATAATGTAGAAATATAAATAAAAGATGATAAGAAGAGGGAGAAAATAAGAATTAATCTTTAAAAGAAAACATTTATTCACTTGTTCAAGTTTAAAGAAATCAAAAACATAAAATAGAAACTAACGTTGATACGAACAAAATATAGTTATATGTATGGGAAAAGAGGCACATACGATGTAATTGAGTAAATACCTATGCAAAATCAGGGTTAAGATGAAGTGCATTGTTAATAGTATTAATAATAATAATAATAATGATTACAGTAATAATATGCACTGTACACATATAAACTCTTGATTTTATAAGGTTACCCAAGCAGAATTACAAGTTGTATTCCATTAGTAGTAAACAATACCGAAATCTTGATATAGTCATACTTTGTTACTTATATCTAACAATGTTAATGATGATCATTATGTTCACATCAAGAATATAAATAATCTTAATGATTTGAATTAAGAGAAGCAAAATGAGAAAATCAAAATACAACACAAAAAATGGTTGGTTGGTTGGTTGATTGGTCTAGAAAAATGGTGTACATTCTTTGTAAAAATAAAAGACATTTTATTATTTTACAAAACAAAAAAAAAAAAAGAAAGAGAAATAGAATACAATTGAACAATAAATAAAAAAAAAGAACGAAATAAAAGTCGAATAAATTAACCGTATCATTCAATTTTGTTTCCTTTTTATCAAATAGATGTAATGGAGCTACTATCAGTGTTATATTGATCAGGATGACGATGTCGGAGATCGTTACAAACTCTTACTGATGCCTTATGAATACACGCACACACACACACACACACACATACAAAATGTAGTGCAGGTGACAAACATGAAGATATTGTGCCATATGATGAAATTTATCAAGAACAAAAAAGGATAAGAAGAAGAAGAAGAAGTTGATACATATTTCAATTATATATCCTCATACTTGTTCAAACATATTCGAATCAAAGATGATAAGAGGAATAAAATTAGAAATTAACTGGGTGTTTGTTTTTTTCATTCTTAAATATTGAATAAATAAAATCAATAAATTAGTTCTATTACTTCTTGGAACATATTCATCATTATTGTTATTGTTATCCTCATCATCATCATCATCATCAATCGGTTTTTATTTGATTGGGAAACGTTTGTTCATCATTTAAATAAATTGATTATAATAAATCTAATTTCTTTTTTAAATCATTTCTTTTCCATTCAGGTAACCGTTGAAATGCTTCAGGGCACATGTTGAATAAACGTTCAAATTCATCCGTTGATAAATAACACTATACAAAAAATGGAAGATGTAAATTTATTTTCAATAAGCAAAATTTGTTAGGAAGGAACAGTTTCTTAGTAGTCATTATAATTATAGTTGAAGAAAACAACTGGCTTTGTTAGTGTAGATTGCTGAATCGCATAATTTACATGATAGGTTGATTTTGATCAGACAACTATTGGAAACCTGGAAGTACTGTGCCATTGTATTGATTTGAAACTCCTGAGTTTGTTTAACAGTGGGGTCACTGATGCACAAAGCTAACGGATTTCATGCTAGAACGAAACGACGGTCCAGTTCTCCCTGTTTTTGAATGGTTGTCTTATTAAGGTTAGTCAGTGATGTGAATTGTAAAACAACTGATTCTAATTAGAAGTTTTGTTTGACGTTTTTGATGACTATCTTGAACGTCAAAACTATCGTGAAATATATTACTAGATTTATAATATGAAGAATTCAAATCTTTGATTTTAATAATTAAGATCTGTGAATTCCAATCCAAATATACAGACACTCTTTAGTGGATTTATAGTTCATATTCAAACTGATATTGATGTAACAACATTTTATTACTGATCATTTTTCAATAATCAGTTATTTTCATAGTTGAAAGCGTGAGTCAATTGAAGCTAGACCACCATCAAAAACCTGGAAGCACTGCTTGACGGCCGTCTCATCCTATTATGGGACTCCTCAGCAGTGAGCATTCACGATCCCACACTCGCGAGATTCGAACACAGGACCTACCGGTCTCGCGCCAGAGCACTTAACCGATAGAACACTGAGCCAGCATCCAACGGTGTTAATTTTTAACTTCAACTGATCCACGAAGTTGAGAAACCGTCCACCATGGTGGTCTAGCTTCAATTGACTCATGCTTTCAACTATGAAAATACTAAATCTTCACAAAACCCCTTCTGATAATCAGTTATTTGACTTAATTCGATAACATTAACAGTAATAATGAACGATTATTAAGAAATATGTAAAAAAATAATAAATGGGAAGAATACATCATCATATTCTATAGGTTACAACTTAAATAAACAATCTACCTCTAACTGTGTTCTATCCACCCCTTTCAATAATTGATTTGATGATGATTTTAACATTTCATAAGGATAAATCTACAGGAATCCAAATAATAAAAAAAACAAAAACATTTATGATAAACAATTTTTTAGTGTTTTAGTGAGTGATGACATATTGACGACATAGTTACGAGTTTATTATTGACAATACGATACAGAAAGAATGCATTACATTACTATAAATGAGAGAAAAATTATATAACCTATGGATGTAGAAACCATAACAGTATGGAGCAAAAACGAGACGTTTGATTTAAGAAAATAGTTAATATAGACTTATTTTAATTAAAAATAAGTTTAATTTCACTTCAGTGAAGAGTGTAAACAGAGATGCAATGTAGGATCTCCCCTAGTTCTTATCCCAAAATTTGTTTAATAACGTCGTAATTTGCATTATCTATAGGACTCAAACTAGAAAATCGTGAATATTTAGCAACTACTAGTCCTATAAACCTGCCTTTTATTTCTCTGCTCCATGACATAAACTCACCACCTCACCGCATTTACCACCCAGATTGCCCCAAATGCCCCGAAAGTGTGGAGAGTCCGCTCTCCCTCTCGAAATACTCTCACACTGCCATGCATAATATAACCTCTACCAGGGAAATCCTACTCAATGCCTTCACGTGGCAGAGGTATTGTATACGAAAATGAGAGGACGAAAAGCGAATGTCCGGAGCTTTAACTGGGTTGGTGGACACGGAGAGTTCATCTAGGGGAGTTAGAAAACCCTAATTCCAAACCAATGGTGCACATGGACTCCATCCAGATTTGATAGATTTACCTGACAAAAGGTTTTTGATTTATCTAGTTTTATGTGACGAAGTGTTAGACCTAAAGTCCCAGGGTCAGCAAATAATGCACTATGTAGAGATCATTGGGACGATATCCGTAAATATGTCTAAGCTACATAAGCCGGTGTTTCAAGATGGTAACACCAACTGAATTATCATTACTATGTCAAAACACACTGCTGAACCATAGCGTTGCTAACTTAGTGCTCCCACTGGATACAGCCAATCCTTGACAACAATGACTAAACGCAATGAGTTGCCATGCAGGCCCAAGATTTTGAAAACGTAGAGTAGGACAATTCTCATCGACATGTCTATTTCCTTAGCCTTTCACAACCAGACTGATATCAAGACAAAAAATATCTCATCTCATGAGAAATATACAGTCAATTTATTTTCAATTTAATTAACAAAAAATATAAAAGAAAGTAATAGAGACAAGATGGATGTAAATGCATAGATGCATAGAAGAGAAAACAATGACTGAAGTGTAGAACACCGAAAGAAAAATGGAACATTCAATGATATACGTATAGCTGACAATAAGAAGGATGTAAAAAAAAGAGTAACTCAAAATTAGATTATTGTTAAGGTAGGAGAAGAAATAACAATTAGAAATCTTTAAACCAATAGTAACATTAAGCCTTTGTTTATATGATCTTTATACTAAACGTAATTAACAGTGTAGCTACTTGAATAAACCGAGAATGAGATTGATTTCACAATACAAGGTAATTAATTGGTTATTATTAGCATTAGAAAATCAAAAATAAGTATAAATTCACTTAGTATCATTTGTTTGAATCTTCCTATTGATGTTTAGGACTGCAACTAGTTAGTCTCTAATTGGAATATGTGCATAATGTGCGTATTGCCTTAATATAGCCTTAATTCACAAGCATTGTAAGGCTATATAGAGGCAATACGCACAGTATGCACATATGTCAATTAGAGACTGACCAGTTGCAGTCCTAACACATAGATGGGAAGATTCAAACAAACAATACTAAGTTATTTCAAACTTCACCCCATTGAACAAGGTAGTGACTATCAGGACTCAGTAGCTGAGTGGATGACGAGATGGTGTTTGAAACGAAAGGAACAGCGTTCGAGTCTTGGGGTGAACATCAACTCTGAGATGCAGGCACATCTAGCTGATGAGTCCTAAGTAGGACGAAACGGGCGTCTTAGATTCCACTGCTAGCCATTATCCATCTTCGCTTACAATAGTAAGTGTATTGTACACACAATTTTCAATATATTGGTTTAGGTTGACAAGACATTCATTTCTATACAGTTCAGTTTTTTCATCAAAAACTATATGAATAGTAGTCACTTAGCCATTATAACACTTGGATTTCAACCTATCAAAATCACAGGTTCGAGCACATGTTCATCCACTTTGTTTAAGTCATACGGGTTGTACTACTAACTTTCTCATAGATTATAATTTGCATGAAAACAGATTTCAAAACTCATTGAAACTCAACAATACCAAACAACACTTACTTTGAAAGACTTTTCATATTTCGATGATGATGCAGTAGGCCTTAACCAACTTTGTACAGACGGATAAGCATCAATATCTAGTAGATCAGGATCAGTTAAATAACCCATACCACTACCACCTGTAGCTGGTGCTGGAGTACTAGTACGTCCACGCCTCATCGCTGAAGTACTACTTTTGTAATGATGATGATGATAAGGATGATGTGGTGGTAAGCCAACTGGTCGAAGACCTGTTACAGAACTAGGCAGACCAGCTACAGTCCTAGATTTTAAAAAATAACCATTAAGTGGACTAGTAATAGTTATATCATCACCGGATTCTGCCATAAAGCCATCCATTGATAAACCTGATGTTGTCACTGTGATAATGAATGTGAACAAAAAAAAACAACAGAAAAAACGGGAATTAAGAAAATGAAAAATACGCTTAACTGTAATAAAGTAGTTTATTTATACAATAAATATACACAATCAAGAACTAGGAAGTGATCGCTACTAAGTAGGACATTTTATTAAGAAACAGAGGAATTGAAGAAAGGTTAGTTAAATCACCTATTCAGTAAATAACTGTTGTTCATTACGACCAATTTATGTAATCGTCATTATGTTAGTGTTTTATGGGAACCTAAAACAAACGATCTTAATAATAATAATGATGGTTATTTACTAGTTTCATATAGATGACATACGTTGTAACGAATAAGATCAATTTTAAATAGAAAGAATTGTAAAATAACGACTCCTATCAAATAATTAGTAGATGTACACTAACATTGGTTACAATGATAAATTATTATTAAAAGAAGATATTCATACATTTGTAGTTGAACAAGTAAACACATTATCACTAATTTGTTTAAGTTCTAAGCATAGATACATAAATATATATCCGTATACACGGTATATAAGAAACATCTTAGAAGTTTTTGTTAAGATTTTGAAGTTCTTTGAAATGAAATACACTCTGTTGTATCCCCTGGCGAATTATGAATCATAAATCTGATGTCCATTTATGGACAAATGTAATACGCCTATTCCTATTGGATAGTTGTTAAATGAGTAACCTAAATCTGATGTCTATTTATGGACAAATACAATATGCCCATTCCCTATTGGATAGTTGTTAAATAAGTGACCTAATCGTTTCCGTGTTCCTCTTATCACAACCTTTGTTTTGACCTTGGAACTATTATTATTGATTACTTTCCCCCTAGCTACAGCCACATTGGCCAATTACTGTACAAATGTTATTTTTCTATTTTTTGGTATAATTGGGTCTGTTTGGTTAGTATATATAACCCAGTGTGCTTGTGAATAATGATTCATATTTCCGAGGCTGTTATTTGTGTTCTGGACTTAACGGGCTGGGCTAGGCAGTTAGGAAGGACCGAATAGCAATCAAGACTGCTCGTACGTATTTTCTGTATCATTGCACGTTTCATATACAATAACGATTGTTATACGAGTCATAACACACTCAACGAACAACAGAATCACTTTATTACCTTTTTTCAAAACTGAAAGGTATAAAAGTGAATAAAAAAAAAACAAAAAAACAAATTTAATATCATCTATAAAATAAATCACAAGTATCACATTGAACGAATTTTGTTCTTTCCCATTTGTAGATACACAAACAACAGGTATCACTTAAATCAATACACTCAAATAACAAAAGACAAGAATTTTATTGGGGAAACATTAACACTTTGGATTGAGTTAATTCAAAGAATAATAGAGAATATCAGGAGGTATGGTTTTCAGGATAATCTGTATATCGACAAATACTTAATATCAAACTGTATTTTGTAAGAAACAATCAGCAAAGAAAAGTTTTCTATTAAAATCAGAGTATCATGGAGATTGTTCAAATTGGTGTTATTTTAGCATGGGGGGTTATGAAGGTTGTATAAGTTTATAGTGCCATCTCACGGATTAACATTAGTCATACAACCGTAGATAATCGATAATGACTGAGTAGCAGTTTCGTCCTAATATGGGACTTTATAGCAGTGAGGATATACGGTCTCAGAACAGGGGATCAGAACCATGTCCTTCAGATTTCGAGGTTAGTGCTTAAATTTTAGAGTTGCTTACTTACGTCATTTGTCCTTCGTTGAGGAGCACATGCCAATTACCTCTGGAGTACTAACTCCATATACAATGTTTTACATTTTAATCAAATGATTTGTAGTAACATTAAGTAAAAGCATCACAGAAAATTAGGTAGGACTGGAAGTAAGAGCTAAAAGGGTAGTCAAGAAAACAAAGTACACAAGTGAATTTCGACTTACACTATAAAGTAGCAATTGAATAGTAATCATTAAAAGGTAAAAAAAACATAATTCATAGGAGTATAACTCACATGAACCTAATCCATCATGAAAGGCAATTGGACGTGATTCATTTTCGATAAAATTAGTATTCAATGATTCCGATACAGTAACTGTACGATCAGGACCATTGATAGCTTCACCTGAATGATTGGAATGTCCACCTGGATGATAACTATGACGTGATGGAATTGTTCTTAAAGTTGTTGATAAAGATCCACGTATACCTGAACTTGCAACTGGAACATGTCCCGATAATGTACTTTGATCTAGCAGTGTATCACCATTTTCTGCACCGATAAATGGTCGAGGTAAGCTAACCGCTCGACCATAGAGTATTCCAGAAGTGTAGCCAGGACGTGGAGCTATTATTTACAAAACAAATTGAATGTCAATAAATAATGCTGAAGACAACAATAAACATGAGTATACCTGCTACTGGTTGAATAGAATTGAAGGAGAATAAATTATCATAGTTGAAATCATGGGTTAATTGAAGATAGACCACCATCAAAATCCTGGAAGCACTGGATGGCCGTTTCGTCCTATTATGGAACCCCTCAGCAGTGCGCATCCACGATCCCGCACTCGCGAGATTCGAACCCAGGACCTACCGTTGGGTGCCGGCTCAGTGGTCTATCGGTTAAGCGCTCGCGTGCGAGACCCGTAGGTCCTGGGTTCGAATCTCGCGAGTGCGGGATCGTGGATGCGCGCTGCTTAGGAGTCCCATAATAGGATGAAACGGCTGACCAGTGCTTCTAGGCTTTCGATGGTGGTCTAGCTTCAATTGGCCCATGATTTCAACTACGAGAATTTATATACTTTATATATATATACAGTTTATAATTTTTAATAAGAATAAGTCAGTTAAACTTAGTCCCGTGTTTAGTTACGGGTTGGACGGATTTATTCTTATTAAAAATTATAGTGTATATTTGATTTTCAGCCTAGTAAAATACACTCAGTAAATAGTACATTGGGCACTATTTTACACGATTTTAATCTCAATTTAATAAATCAGTTTGGTACCACAGATTCAAGATTGAATAGATTTTTATGTTAACAACAAAACTTTAATAAATCACAACCGAAGTTTAGAGACAAACATTTAAATGTAAAATCCTCAAATATCTATTTCAGTGACTTATGGAAGACAATTCCAATATTTTTACTAATTAAACTAAAGATTTTATGACTAGTTTATGTCTATAAATAAAATATAAAGTACAGGAAATTAATAAATCTTATGACCACTTATATTCCCCTTAAACAAAATAATTCGCATCTAATAACAGTAACTTGGTGATTAAAGCATTTGGCTTTAGACATGGATTTCAATTATTCTGTAGGATGAATTCACTTAGTATTGTTTGTTTGAATCTTTCCATTGATGCTATCAGCATTCAGCAGCTGAGTGGATAACGCGATGACGTTTGAAGCGAATGGTACTAGGTTCAAGTCACAGAGTGAAAATCAACTCTGAGATGCAGGTACATCCAGCTGATGAGTCCCAAATAGGATGAAGTGGCGTGCGTTAAAATGGATTCCAATGCTAGCCACTATCCATCTTTGCTCATTCTATAGGATATTTAAGTACGATATAGCCAGCCAATCCATTTCTTGTCAAATTGATTACGAACAGTTTATAAACAAAAGAAACGATTCTGTAGTCTGTTGTCATTCGACTTATCCAATATAGGCATAATGATATTACTAAATTATACATTAATATCACACGAATGTTAAAAATAACAAAATTTTTAACACATAAGAAATGTTACAAAACAATATTGTCATCGTTGTTTTGTTTTTTAGGCAAATAAAATTAATTAAGATCGTGAAATTTTACACTTCGTTGAAAACAGAAGGTAGTATACACCGAATCAATGATTACCCTAGTGAGAACTTAATTCACCATAAAAAGTTTGGTGATTTCATATTCAATAAATATTTCTACGATAAAAAAATAGAATGTAGTCGTGATTTTGTAGTGTGCTCTACTTATATCCATATAAGTAGTATATGGTAAGGGTCAGTCATAGAGTGTATTTTGACAGAAAACCGATAAGGAAAGAACTGAAATGAAGCGCAATCGGTAGGAAAATGTATGATCAGTGGAATTAGAGAAGACGAACTGATATTTACAGAAGAAACAGTGAAGATTGAAACAATTGATTGTTATTTTGCTAATTAACTGTTCATTGTTTGGTTATCAGAATTTACTGAGATAGTCTGTAATTTGTGTCTGACTACTTTCGATCGTCCACAACTAGTGTTTTGTTCACTACAATTTTATATGCATCATATGCTCAAATGTTGATTTCTTTGTATAAAACATTTTACTTTCAAGAAAGTAATCATGTTTTGTTTACGAAATTACAATCACTACTAGATAAATGAACAGTAAACGACAGTATAGTTGATTGTAAAACACTAATGAACGCTGATATTTGTGGTTCGTAAAAGTAACTGCCTATATCATTGTCTTACAGTTTGTAGCTATGTTTAATGGACGAACGTAGTCGAATAACAATTTAGCCGATAAATTCATTGGAATAATGAAATTCATATTCATATGAGATAACTAAAGAAAATTCATGTCACAGACTGACATCGTCTGACAAAATATTTAAAGCTAAAAATAAGAAGACAGATGTATCATCCTATTTTGAAACGGGACTGCAGTGAGCGCTAAAAAACAATACGTACGTAAACGACTTCATATCTCACAAAGTGAACTATAATTTTAGATATGTGAGAATCTAAATTCAATAAACTTCTTCTTTAACTCTGATCAACTCGTCAAAGTAGAGCGATCGTTAAACAATGTGACCAGTGCGCAATTGGTCCACTTCAAACGTGGTTCCACTCTACAACTCACAATATCTAAGTTAGATTTAAGGAATCAGTCAAGGAGTAACTCATACTTTAAAAAATATTCCTTAGAAGAATTTCCTTAAAAAAATTTGTTTAGTAAGTGGCTATGAGGATTCAGTGGCCGAATGGATAACGCGATGGCATTTGAAGCGAGGGTACTGGGTTCGAGTCCCAGAGTGAACATCAACTCTGAGATGCAGGTACATCCAGCTAACGAGTCCCAAATAGGACGAAGTGGCACGCGTCAAACTGGATTCCACTGCTAGCCACTATCCATCTCTGCTTACCATGCTTGTGAATTTAGGCTATATCGGGACAATATGCACAGTACGCACATATACCAATTAGAAACTGACCAGTTGCAGTCATAACACATCGATGGGAAGATTCAAACAAACAATATTAAGTGAATTTGTTTAATAGAGTTTCTATTATTTATACTTTAAAAATTACACTTCATTTTGCATGGTATTGTAAATTTCATTTTGTAGTTACCCTCAAGAAAAGAAGCAGACAAAGTTATTGTGTTGTAGAATTATTACATAGAATAAATACAGAATATGCATATATGTTTGTATAACTCACTACTGTCATAACCATCCGATCAATGCAAACATGCAATAATGTTTTTATGGGGGATAAAAATAAGACACGTGAAAATGAATTTTTGAGATATGGGATAAAAATAAAAAGGTGAATCGGAATGCAACCAACAATTTGACAAAAATAAGCAACAACAAAAATTCACAGATGTATAAAAAGTAAATAAATGAAAAACTCCTTTTTTTTCTTCGTTTATATAAACTAGTTTTCAGACATAGAGGAAAGAATATAATACCAACCATGTGTAACACATGTTCCCAACCATTATAATTGAACAAAGTGTACAGCTAGAACACAAATAGATTTATAGTTGCTTTTCAGTAATCTTCACTTTGTAGTGTAGTCTACTTATATCCATATAAGTAGTATATGGTAAAGGTCAGTCATAGAATGTATTTTGGCAGAAGACTGATAAGGAAAGAACTGAAATGAAGCGCAATTGCTGGGAAAAGGCATGAACAATGAAATTAGAGAAAATGAACTGATATTTACAGAAGAAACAGTGAAGATTGAGACAATTGGTTGTTATTTTACAATTTATTTATTTATTTAAACACATATATATTGGTACAAAAGGGCACCAGATACATATGCGCCACACAAAATAATGAAAGTAGGAAGAGAAGGGATGAAAAGATAATGCGGACTGAAATGTACAACCAGAAGACTCTTTCAGTTAAGAAAGTTAGAACCACTTTTTATGCAGAAAGTAAAAGAAGGTTGCAGCAGGATCGCCACTGGCTTCTATTCTGAGCCATATCTGATAACGTCTCTAGCCACTGTGTTGCACCATCTCTCGGACCCCAACCAGGGAGTCGTGAAGGACCAACAGAAGCTAGCCCTTTGCAGCTTTCTTTCATGCCACGACACCATGTCATACACTGACCTCCTCTCCGCTTTTTCCAACCAGTCCCAGGGTCGGCAATTAATGCACGACGTGGAAGTCTCTGGGACGACATTCGTAAAACATATCCAAGCCACCGAAGTCGGTGTTTCAAGATGGTGACACCAATTGAATTATCGTCTCTGCGCCCGAACACACGATGCCACTGAATGACAGCAATCCTTCGGAAACAACGATGATCGAACACAGAGAGTCGTCTAACATCCTCAACTCGGAGAGGCCAGGTTTCACAAGCATAGAGCAAAACTGCTCTCACCCACGCGTTGTAGATTCGACCTTTTACAGCCAAACTAACATCACGAAGGCGCCAAAGATGGCCCAGATTGGCATAAGCCGCTCTGGCTTTCATTATACGTGCATCAATCTCATCACTCACGCCACCACCAGCACTTATATAGCTACCTAGATACACGAACTTCTCAACTACTTCAATCTGCTCACCATCCATGGTGAGTACAGGATGAGAATCCTGCCAGTCTTGTAGGAGTACTTTGCACTTGGAGGGTGCAAAGCACATGCCGTACCTGCGGACACTGACTGCCAACTGATTAAGTGCTGATTGCATGGCTTGAGCATTATCGCACAGTAAGACAATATCATCCGCATACTCGAGGTCGAGAAGTCGTTCCCCAGGCAACATATCCACACCGCCATTACTTACATCCATCAGAGCTGTTTCCAGGATGTCGTCGATAGCAAAGTTGAAGAGGAATGGTGAGATTGGGCAACCCTGCCTAACCCCACTGCTCGAATGGAACAAGGGAGAAAGGTGGTTGTATGCCCTCACTCTGCCTGAGGTGTTCGTATACAGGGCCTTTAAGATGTTAATGAACTTCTCAGGCACACCCTTCTTCAATAGACAATCCCAGAGAACAGTCCTGTCCAACGAATCGAAGGCCGCTCTGATATCAAGAAACACTACGATTGTTGGCCTGCGATAAGTATGACGGTGTTCTAACATTTGGCGGAGGGTGAAGATGTGGTCAATGCATCCTCGACCAGATACACTATAAATAGTAATGTACTTGTAACATATATGTGATATTTATGAACATCTCAGAATTTCGGGGTACGTGATTACTTTTAAGGAACTGACGAAAATGTTAAAAGTGCAGTTAGCCTGATCCATGAAATCTTGTAACTCTTTTATAGTATCAGATTGAATTATTAAATCGGGTTTTAAACAACCTATGAAGAATGATAGAAGCCAATAGTTTGGACGCAATCGAAAGTAGACTTATCCCCCGATAGTTATTGCAGGAACAACATGAACCCTTTTTAAAGATAGGGACGACTATTGACTTATTCCATGATGTTGGAACACTTTCTTGTTACCAAACCTTTCCAAACAACACAGTCAATTCCTTAGTCAGAAGGTCACCACCATCTTTAAAAAGAGCCGGAGGTAAGTCATCTGGGCCCGGTGATTTGTAACGTTTCAAGAGTTGGAGTTCCTTGCGGACTTCCGCCTCGTTTGGTGGATCAGTCGTCACCGGCCATGGGGGGCAGGACAAGCTGGTTGATGTTGCCGGAGCAACAGGCCAGTTGAACTGCCCTTCGAAGAATTCCGCCCATCGTCCAAGACGTCGAGAGATATTAGTGATTGGCATCCCATCATCCTCGTAGATTGTTTCACTCACACCAGACTTCTTGCTGCCAGTGGCTTGGATGAGTTGGAAGAGCTTCCGGAAGTTACCAGATGCAGCTGCTGCTTCCATCTCAATCTGAATCCAGGCTTGAGATGCAGAGGGAGGACGCCAGGTGGCACACCGGCGATGACTGTGCCGGAAGTTAGTGCTGGCCAGAAACAGATTGTGGTCTGTGCACAGTTGCAGCAAACGGTCCCCGTTATCTGTCCTGCGACCAACGAGTCCCCATCGGCCACCTAAACGACTCTCTTCTGTGCCTAGACGCCCGACTTGAGCATTCAAGTCTCCGGCTAATACTACAATATCTGTCGAACGCGCTTTCTGGAGAAGAATTGTTAACTGATGGTAAAACTCATCATTGGTTTCATCCGGGCTGCAATCTGTCGGGGCATAGGCGGAGATGACGAAAAGGCACCGTTTCTCTCGCCGGTTTCTTCTCACTTTGATGGAACTTTCTAATCTAACAGCACATAACCGACTGTTAATGGGGATCCAATCGATTAGTGCTGCCTCAGCTCTAGCGCTTAGTGCGACACCAACGCCAGCAAGACCAGACGAAGATGCCACAGGGTCCCCGGATAAGCGCACGTGGAACAAGCTTTTCGAGGCGACAGATGGAGAGCGGATTTGTAGTACTTCACTAGAGTCTTGAATACGGGTCTCGGATAGACAACAAACGTCAACATTAAGACCTTCCAAAGACATAGCCAGCCCTATCTGTTGTCTGATCTGCATTAGTGTGCGAACGTTGAAGGAAGCCAGCTTGAACGGAGTACGTGGTTTCAGAAAGACTGCTTCATTATTCATAATCGGTGGAAGCATTCACTTTCAACCAGACAGTGACTGGAGATCGTTTAGATAGGACAGATTTTCCACCATGGGCGAGCTGCTGCATAAGTTGAAAAGTAAGGTTACACAAATTGGGGATAAAAAGGGGGTGAGTTTGCGATATGGTAAATAATAATAGTAACAATAATAATAATAATAATAAAGGTAATAATAATAATAATGTAAATTGTCTTACTTCTAGTATGAGCAGGAATAGTATCGTCAATAGAATTCATCATTTCATTTATTTTACAAATTAACTGTTTGTTGTATGGTTATCAGAATTTAGTGAGATAGTCTGTAATTTGTGTATAAATTCATTCGACTGTCCCCAACTAGTGTTCTGTTCACTACCATTTGATCTTAAGTTTACAAGTAACATTGTTCTAGAATTAAAATTACTCAAGATAGAATACCAACAGCTTAAGTTTAAACTGATTAGAAATGCAACTAATTAGTCGAATAAGTGTTTATGTGTTCAGTTTTATTACATAATTTCTAGGATGAACAGTGTTATAGTCTAGAGTTCTTAGGTGAAATGGATGTAGGAGAGTTTACGATGACGAAGAAAGATCAGAAAATAAATCATTCTTTGATTGATGACGTGTTTTGTGCGACATGCTTAAAATAAATTAGATCTAATTTGAAATGTTAGCAACTGTCGAATCACTAAAAAGGATAACACTATAGAGAAATTCAAAGGTCAAAAACTCTTGACCACTTTATCTACTTGTAATGAAACTAGTTTTCATACAGCAGTTCCGAGGTAATATTTTTATATTTAGAGGATAAACATAGTGTCCTCTAACATCTTGAGTTGTCATTGTGTGTCAATAAAATGAAATTAGTCAATTTACTTAATAATTAGATATTTGTCAATTATCTAACAAGAATTTGATGAGACGATCTTTATTAAGATGTAATTCTCCAAGCATTGACATACATAAATTATTCGTCAAAAAATATTTATAAAATAGACTCCATACCAACATTTCGCTACAAGCACTGACCTCTTCAATAGTAGTCAGCTGAAATCCTTCGAAAACCTGACGTAATTCTCTGATCTATAGTAAACAGTGCAATCGAATTTCGTGATCAACAAGGTTAATTGCTATCACTGAATATGCTTTCAACCAGGGAGCTTAAAATACGACTATTCTCTGAAAGCAGAAAGACATTAATTGACTGATTCAAGTATCAGACATTCAACAACTAAGCAAGGGGAAAAGTACAACCCAGTAATACTCATCTTTGTCTTCACATGGAAAAACATATTTTTACAAACGTGGGAAGGAAAATGAATGTCTGGCTCTTAATAAAAACTGTGGATACAGAACATAACCCCTAAAGATAATCAAGTTTTTTTGTTTGAGTGGCCGGCCAGAATTTCACGCCACACGTAAAGTTGATATTGTACGGTATACACTATTTTGTTGCCCAGTTACATCAAACTTCATATAAATTAAGTAAATAAATAGTACAGAAGGGGTTTTTGTGGATATTTCAGTATTTTCATTGTTGAAATCATGAGTCAATTGAAGACCACCATGGAAAACCTGGAAGCACTGGATGGCCGTTTCGTCCTAATATGGGACTCCACAGCAGTGCGCATCCAAGATCCCGCACCCGAAAGATTCGAACCCAGGACAACCAGCTTCGCGCCGGAGCACTTTAGAATAAACTTGAATAACTCAGACAGTATGTGACTTTGAGTCATTTTTACCTCACTTATAACTCTATTCTCTTGATATGCAATTGTAGACTTCACCAAACAAATCTCATATATTCATCTCTTAGGAATTCTACACTTATACGTCGCAAATAAATACCAACATATTATTATTATTATTATATTATAAACTATATAATTGTTTAGTGAATTTACTAACGTCAATAAAAACTGTCGGTTACAAATTTAAACTGTTGAAAGAAATATTGGAGTTTAGTCAAAGTGTTTACAATGAAAAATGTAAACAAATGTAGTCAAATAAAATAATGAGGAATAACCCAAACTCCATCCACATGGATATATTCAAAAATAATGGAACATACATAGTTCTCATGCAAAGCGTTAGTAACTAACAAACTTAATGAGAAAAATACGATACGACATTATGAAATCGAACGAAACTTGCCTACATTATGTATAAGCATTAAAATAGTATACAATGCAGATCAGAAGTCTAACAAAGTTTTAAATAGAAGTAATGTAGATTTTCATCTTGAAGAAGCTAATCAAAAGTTCAATTATTTAAAGCTTTATTTGATCGTGAACTAAAATCTTATATAAGTCAGTGAGCAACATATCTCCGATTAAAAGATTGTCGTTTATAGTGATTCATTACTTTATCCACGGAAATCCAAACACTTGAACAACTAATTTTCTATACCTTCGGCAATAACGAAGTAATCGTTTACAAGCAAAAGATGTTGATTACCACAAAATTTTCCATGATGAATGTACATATAAAATAAGAGTGTAAAAAAGAAGCAAGTTTTAGGATTAATCCAAGTTATCAAAAGACCGTATCCGAAACAGTCAAAATCCTTCTATTATTATAATTTTACCCTAGTTACGTAACTTTAACAACCACTGTGAACAAAAAGATGAAGTTGAAACAAAATGGGGGGGGGGAGAACATTCGCTATAGAAGAATTCCAATTAATTATTGTGTTATTTTTTTTTACCATTAATAGCATCAATACAATAACAACTGTTCAAACTTCACTTATTTCTTAAACCAGGTTGCAATCCATTAAACGGCATTCAATAATATGACTTAGATTCATGTAAAAATGAATGGAAATATTCATTTGTAATAATGCAAAAAACAACAACAAAGAAAATGAAATGAAGTGCAAATTTGTGTGAACAGTATCACATGCCATTGATTACAGAATATACACTGAGTAATAGTTTCAAATTTTATAATGAATCAGACTACCTGAATAAGTTGATCTCATGTATTGACCATGTTGTCTGACTGCATACTCATGATCGTATCCTACAACATGATGATGATGATGATGGTGTGGACAAACATAAATAAATATATATATATGAATAGATTTAGTTTCTAATGGAATGGAAATCAAAGTTCCAAAGATTGAGAAATTAATTATATGCTAAATTGATAAGCATGTGTTCGAAAATACAAGGAAAGTCTATCTGTCAAGGAACACAATCTATATGCGATTGCTTACATAAAACCACTAATTGTGAATGCTTAATTGAATAAGTAATGTGTGATTAAGAATCCTAATTGGCAGAGCTGAATTCAACACACATAAATTCATTACTAAATTATGAAACAAGATCCTTGTAAAGATATGGAATAGTTGAAATTCAGCATAGGGCTTTACATGATTGCACGTCTATGCCTAAAAGTCAATGGTTATTAAAATTACATCACAAAGAAACACTAAAATCCATTCACAATAGGTTTTCCGTATTACATTTTATTTAATGTTTGGCAACGACTCTATTATTATTATTCAAAATGTCAAAAAAAAAAACCAAAAAAAATTCTTAAAAATGTATCATTTAATCAAAAAGGTGATGATTCTTTAGTAAGTTTGTAATACGTAATACTGTGGATAAATGTAACAAACTTTGAATTATTATGATCTAATACATTTTATACACTTCCATTACACATTATTATCACCATTATTATTATTATTATTATTATTGGCACAATTGATCGGAATAAACTTATTTACATAATATTTTAAAACTGATAAATTCTAGCACGATTATCCAATTTATTTCAATTTGTATTAAGTTCAGTTTTAATGGTTTCATTATTTCAACAGCTTAAAGAATAATCTTATAGAATTGAGATCATGAACGAATTGAAGCTAGACCACCGTGGAAAACATGGAAGCACTGGACAGCCGTTTCTTCCTACTATGGGACTCCTCAGCAGTGCGCATCCACGATCCCTTACTCACTAGTGACTGGCTCCAATAGGTATTTACTGGAGTTCTAAAGAGAAGCAGTAATCAGTGGAGTTCAATCAGATCTGTTGGGAGATATCAACTCACTGAGGACATTGGTGAATGGTTGCTCAATGGTTGCTTAATTTCGTGGATTGGTTGGAGTTAGACATAAACACCATCGGATGCTGGCTCAGTGGTCTATCGGTTAAGTGCTCTGGTGCGAGACTGGTAGGTCCTGGGTTCGAGTCTCGCTAGTGCGAGATCGTGAATGAGCACTGATGAGGAGTCCCATAATAGGACGAAACGGCCGTCCAGTGCTTCCAGGTTTTCCATGGTGATCTAGCTTCAATTGACTCATGATTTCAACTCTATAAGATTACTAAAATCTCCACAAAACCCCTTCTGATTAAAGAATAATCATTAATACACCGAACTGTCAAATTATCTGCAGAATCAAATCCATATTCTAAATTTTATTACTGTTTACTTTTTTTTAAACCTCTCATAAACAGACTACTTGAAATGTATTTGAATGATTTACATCTCCCATATTTCCTAACTTGTGATAATTTGCATCATTAATCTAAACTGATCCTTTTTGTGTGAATACTATTTATATTGAGACATTATGTTAGTTAGTAGAGATTTATGAGATGCAGAAAGAACTTAATATCATGTATATATAAGAGTAATTAAAATGTAATGCAATTTAACATTTTTAAGGAAACAAGAAAAAAAGTATTTTGATTTAACAAAAGGAAATAATCTAGACGCCAGTGATAAAACACTCTCATATAGTCCCAGAAAAATAAGCCTACAAAAAAGTACGTAAATTTACAGTTAACCTGATAGATAATACTTAAAGTAACATGATCAAGGTGAAAATGTTAATAATAAATTTATAATTTTACTTGATGGGAAGCTGGGTATAGTTCCTGAACGTCCACCGGTGCTGGAATATTCCAATCGATAAGATAAATTATGACCACTTCGACGATCTCTCCTAGTATCACGTGACGGAGCTGTATGAGAAAAACAAAGAAAATCAAAAGATCATTGTAAAATATAAATTTCAATAAATTGATTTCAGTTCAGAAAGAAAGTTAAATCCATATAAAGAAACCACTCTAGAAAAAAATTCAGTATATTTAGGCAATAACATGAAGGTTGTTTATTTGTAAGTGGTTGTATTTTTTTAATTGTCTATGATAATTATTACATTTGATCAATCTCTATCTGTATACCTTCATCCTGAACTGATTGACTCGATAAAGCCATTAGTCATTAGTTTTTTAGTATATTTGGTTTGCGGATAGTAGTGAAATTGAGAATACATGTTTTGTTTCACAGTTAAATATAAACCCTTACAAATATAATACATGCCCATCGCACAAGCCAGTGGATATCTAGACTCGGTAGCCCGTCGGATAATGCAGTGGTATTTGAAGTAAAGTGGACTGAATGTAAATCTCAGCGTAAACATCAGCACTGAAACGAAAGTTCATTCGACTGACGAGTGGCTAACAGGATGAGACGCTCGTCCTGGATCCCGATGTTAGTTATTTTTATAAAACAGTTTTATAAGATTTTTATATATGATAAGCTAATCTCCGTTTCAAAAATGACCTATATTTTTTGTATCCTAACAGTGGGTTATGAAAACAAATAACAAACAAATGGCTTAGTAACTAATTAACCTATTTATGTTAAACTTTTAGGTCATTGAATTCATCTGACTGAAATCAATCTGTATGTAATTATTTAACTATATAAAGTAATTGACTTAACTATATAATATTAACTTAAGTAAGAAATTGAAATAAGAAACGTTTATGGACCAAATTATTGATCAAACAATGTTTATTTGTAACTTAGGTGTTGATATTTCATGATGACAATTGGTCGATAAGGAAACACATTGGCATTAAATTTATTCAATCTTATATTAGATACATGTTTGATGTGGTAATTTTGTATGCACTATGTCAATTATTTTCACAATGATAAATCATTGTTGTACTTGCCAGTTAATTCTTCTAATCTTTAAGGGTCTCCATTTTAAAAAAAAATAGCTGCCTATATCCAAATGAGATTCCAAGAGTTTAACACATGTATTCTCTACTACTTATTTACTAATAAGTATTTACACTTTTTAGTAAGACGATTCTTCAAGTAAAGATGTAAGATTGAAATTATGAAATGTAATTTGATACTGTAAATTTCACAGTAAACAAAAATCAACTGAAGAAATGTTAATAAAACAATAACATAGATTGATCATAGAAAATAGTACCAATTAAATATAACGTTAAATATTAAAAACGAGACAATGAATAGGTACAGTAGTACAACATTAATATAAGTTTGAAATGATACATCTATAGAGGGTTAAGCAGAAAGATTTGAAAAATTTTCATGAACTTACTCTTCATAATAACAAAGATTACTTTTGAAAAAAAAAATACCCAGTCATCTAAAAAATTTCTGGTGAGCAAAAACTAAGTATGCCAAACAACATGATGTAATATACTACTGCTCAGGAGTATATCATCAAATAAAAATGAGAAATGATGACTAGCATCCATTCCCAACTTAATATGAATGATCAAAATGTTAAATGGTCAATCAAATTACGGCTAAAAACTGAATTAACAAATAATTTTAACCGATAAACTTAGAATAATGAGTATTATAGTGTCGTTAGAATGCACTAGGTACTTTGGCGCTGAACAAGAAATACATCTAGTATAAAGCCTTTTTAAAATGCTTATTTTTTAATTACAAAACAATAATATCGGATTGACGTATAAAGAAGACAAACTTACATGTATATCCATGCCGTCTATATCGTGTTTTGTAACCAGGCTCTACATTTGCATTCGGTGATCGTGAAGCAGAAATTGGATCTAAATCTGTTTCATGAACATGTGATTTACTGGCTTCCAATTCTTGAATAAGAGCCTTTTAGAGTCGATAATAAAAATAGATAAACCATATTATTTCAATAAAGAGGAAAGAACAAGTAAGTTCATTAAAATGAGCAATACTAATATACACCTATCTGTTCACCATTATTTATCCTGTTTAAGAAGAAGAATATCATGATAGTTGGTGTCATATATTCACTCCAATAAATGATTAAAAACAATACGTACTGTTTCAAACTACATTGATAGTGATTATTGAAACATTCATTAAACCACGAGTGAGTTTTATAAATGAAATCATTTTTAAAAAAACTATTTGGATAGTAAATGAATGAAAGAAGGGGTGATCAATTGGATATGGTTTTCACTGTTCAATCACTAGGGTTTCAACTTTTAATCCAGATTCACTTTCAGTAATTAGAGCAACTGAATGATGTAACATATTCTCCATACAAAAGGTTTAACCCAAGGTTAAGTACATAATCGGGAACTTGATTTATTAAGTAAGATTTAATTAGACCGAAATGTAAATGATGGAATAGACTATGAAGAAAATGTATTATACAACTTTAGTCTTGTATCGTTATTAACAACCAGTCAAATTCAACGTATTTCTTGTACTTCGTTCCTTTGATAAACTTTGATAAACAAAGAATAACGAACAGTATAAAATAAAGTAAGTGAATTCCGTTTCATCACCCCTAAACCATCTAAATACGCACGGATTTGTACAAATAAATGAAATGTTTACATGTTGCATATAAAATTACAGTATTTCCATTATTTGTACAAATCAGCGCATATATAGATGACTTTGAATACATGAAGTGAAATGAATTAACTTCACTGTACTAATTCTTATTTATTTATTTGAACACAAAAATATTGGTACAAAGGGGCATCAAATACATATGCGCGACACAAATCTCATTTGATTTGTGTGAGGGCTAGGATACTGCCCAGGTGCCCAAACTGAAGCAGGTGGTTTTCTTAGGAGGCCACACCCGGAGCCTTTGACCTAAAAGTCTGATCCACAAGACAGTGGAACATAGTGAAGAGATGCCGTCCCATGGTGGCCGGTGACCAACGATTGATTCATACACCATTTGTTCCCTCAGCAGAATACTGGAACCCATGTGCACCATTGGTTTGGAATCAGGGTTTGCCAACTTCCCTAGGTGGACTTTCCGTGTCCACTAACCCGGTTAAAGCACCGAGCATTCGCTTTTCGTCCTCTCAATTTTGTAAACAACACGCCCGCCACGAGAAGGCAATGAGTAGGACTTCCCTGGCTATATACGTGTGGCCATGTGAGAGCATTTCGAGAGGGAGAGCGAACTCTCCCCACTCTCGGCCGTACCAGGGCATTTGGGGGCACTTCCCTGTACAATCTTCGTTATTCTTACTGAACAAAAACTTAAAATAAACAAGATAAGGTATTAATCATATCTGCAGAAATCAGAACACCTCACTTCTATTTAACATTCATAAGGCTTCTAACTATATTAAAAACGAAATCAAAATACAACAATGAACAACAATGAACAATTTTTTGGTAATGAGATCAATCATTTGACTCATAAACTCATTTTTCGTGGCACTTTAACTGTTACAATATTAATAAATTAATGACTAACATATTACTGGACATTCAGTGATAAGTTCTACGGAAAATACATTTGGGACACAATCTAACTCATCATCAGTATAAAATTATTTTTAAAAAGCGGATTAATATTTTAAACAGAAATACATGCTCACCGCTGTAATACCGGAACTTTCACCTAATCGTTTCAATGTCTCAATTTCAGCATCAATTCGATCTAGTTTAGCATTTAGTACTGGATCACGATCGGTCCAGTCTGTATCGACTGATGTCATTGTTCCATTTCTTAGAGTACCATTTCTACTATCTACACCAATTGACTGTACACCAGTCATACGTTTCTCACGACCTGAAAGTTAACAAAATGAACAGAATAGTTCGTATTTAGAGTTTCTAATAAAGTGATCATAAATAGCATAATATTGATAGCGTACTACAATAACATACATTGTAATATTGACTCATCAGATAACAATGTTTTATTCACATGATAAAATTCACTTACGTTTATCAATCATAACAACAGCTGGTGAAGGTGGAGCAGGAAAATCATATCTGTCTATAGCCGGTAAACTATTGGAATCTGGTAAACGAGCATTTGGGAAAGAAGCAAGTCTTCGGGCTTCAGACCAATAAAGTGTAGCAGATGGTGGACTAGCAGTACGATCAAGTCGAGGTCGAACAAGTGATTCAGCTAAACAAAAAAAAGCCAAAACATAATTATGAAAAAATAAATTATCAACTAGCTGAAAGTTCGAGTAAATTTAACCGACAAAATTAAACAAGAAAGTATTTCGGTCTACTGTATCATTTGAATGTAACTTAACTAAATATAAGAAATTTTTATAGAATATCGAGTAAATGAACATTTGACCTGAAAGTAGTGACCAGTGTCATTTTGTTTTCCTATTGAATATCAATTAGCATGAAATTTAGATCAAGCATAGATTTATGCCAATTACCGCCGACTACTGAACATTAAATAAACACAACAGCATTATATCTATAATCAAACAATGTAGTTAACTCTTATTAAGGTTGATAAGAGAAGCTTTTCAAGAGTTAATCAGTAATTATTTGTCCATCTCATAATGCAAAACAAATCCATAATAGCTCAAACCATTCCTTGAAAAAAGGAACAATTGAACTGTAAGTAATAATATATCTCTTTTTTTAAAACAAATCAACAACAACTATACGACTATATATGTGTATATATTTGAATGAATGAATGAATGAATGAATACACTTAGCAGGTATCCCAATAAATTCCAATTTAACACAACGAAATTGAATATAAACTATTAAAAAAAAAAAATTAAAGAATAAAAATGATAAATAGACAAAACCACACAATCTTAGAATCTAAGAGAAAATCAATCCACATCAATAGAACAAGAAATTTTTATATAGTTAAGATCATGAGTCAATTGAAGCTAGACCACTATGGGAAACCTGGAAGCACTGGACGGCTTTTTCGTCCTATTGTGAGACTCTTCAGCAGTGTGCATCCACGACCCAGCCTCGCGAGATTCGAACTCAGGACCTACTAGTCTCGCACCACAACACTTAACCGATAGACCACTGAGCCGTTATCCAACGGCGGTAATGTCTAACTCTAATCAATCCACGAAATCGCACGACCAACTTCCAAGAAAAAAAATTTTGGAAACTATTCTTATTTTGTTAGGCATTTACAGAAACCAGTTTTTTCTTCTTCATTGATTCAGACGCTATTTCAAAAATTTAGTAAAAAATGCAACACAATATAAACAAATTAAGTTTGTTTTTGGGCTATCTCCTCTTTTTTTTTCTTTTTCTGTTAAACATTTTAATGGATATAATTGAAAAGTCAAGTTAATTTATTTTGTTTATTATAATCATTTCATATAACAAGCGCCATATTCAGTTTTCGATGTTTATTAACGTTGAAAAAAACATTGATTGGAAAAATAATTTTAAAAAAAATTGTTCAGGAAACACATTTTCAACTTATTATTCTTTGGATTTTACAAAAAAAAGAAAAACACCATTACTGTTGAATAATAACTCCGCCTGTAGCTTCTCCGGGGGCTACTGCTGGTCCCAAGCCCGGGTAAAGGAAGAGGGTTGAGCATGGGATTAGCGATCCCATCCCTTAAAAAATCAACTCGCTAAAAAAACGCTAACCAGAAAAAAATATTCAAACCATTTAAGTACTGTTGAATGATCATTAGGGAAATAAAAAGATGTGCACTTTTAAACAAAAACTAGATCATATAGTTGAATCAAGTATTTTATCAGTTATTTAGAAATAGAACGTTTGGATGAATAGATATTTTTGTTTTTGTAATGTCAAGTCACTTATCATATACGAATTTTTGCACTTCTAACCATATTTTAATTGTGAGAGCTAGTGACACTACCCTATAGTTAAAACTATTGTAAGTGAAAGAAAGTTAGAATATGTAGGGTATTGACTAAAAGTCAAATGCTTTGACCAATGAGACACAATTCATAGTGTCTCAGCGGGCTTTATAATTAAAGATATTTAACTAGGTAAGAATGGCAAATCAATTGATGAAGTAGTGAATATTCATCACTTGAGATGGCTGAGACACGTGTTACGTATGCCCATTCACCGACTGCCCCGACGTGCAATGTTTTATGGTGTAGGAGTAGGTTGAAAGAAAGCTAGGGGCGGTCAGACCAAAACTTGGCACAAATCAATGAAGTCACTGACAATTGGACTGAGCCATGTTGGTAGGTGTAGACTACCTGGTTGAGATTTGCGAGATGATAGCAATCGATGGTTAAAGACCTTGAATGACATGGCTCAAAATGGTTCGCAATGGCGAAGGTGCATCCACTATTTGTGTTCTACCAAATTCCAATCTTCTGAATTCTTCATGTCCCTATCCTTTTTCTCTTTCAAAATTATACTCCTTCAATAACATCTCCAAACCCTAATCTTTCCGATTACTGCTTATACTCTTACTACTTCTACCACTATGGGATTTGAATCGACAACTGCATCTCTGTGTTAATGTAGTATGACAACTCGAACTAATGTACTTACGTACGAAGTTCTACGTTGTGACTCACTGACTGACATTTAACTTTTCTACTACCATTGACAATATTAAGCCAAGATCGAATTTGTCAATGTTGTGCACAGAAAAAACTAGTAGATTTCATCTCATCTATTACTCAACTGCCTGCAAATTATGTAATTAATAAACCTAGGAAATTATATAAGAAGTATAAAAATCATTATATGTCTGAGCTGTACCAGTCATGACTTCTGCTAAAACTTCAAGAACATCTTGAACTTCACTGGTGAAGTACGTGGCTTGATTAATTGAACATAAAATTGTTTATTGATAGAATTCTCATCAGGTTCTACAATTATGTATCCACATTAATAATCCAAAAATTAGCCAGATTAAAGCTAATGCATCGTTTAAAATTATCGCAAGTGAACTTAGGATTGTTTATAAAACAAAATGAAACTGTTAATTGTTGAAATGACTAATGTGCAATGTAAACTTGAATAAGTTTATATGTTAAACGAAATTGTGACGTGCCCAGTGAAATGTTGATGTTAAAGCTCTACAGAGCAATACAAAAAAGTCTTTAATGCAGAAAATTACAATTGATGTTCTCGATGGTTACTAAAAGATTGAAAGATAGACTAGCCACCTCTTTCTGTATCTATCGATTAAACTGCTATTGTGGAGGAAATTATATTGGCAGAGATTCTAGCAATATATATTTTGGTGCTCACAGGCACCTTTCAGTGTGAAGAAGCAAATACATAGGTTAACAGCTCAATCCTAGCTCATTTGGTACAGACGAGTCATATTACTAACATGGGACAATCACTTACAGCAATATATAGTGCTAATAGATATCTGCTTGAATCCGTCAGACTATGAATCCTTCGAACGGCTGGAGCAATATCTATTTGGAAAAAAACTGGAGCTTTGAGTCCAGAATAATTTTATTCGACGGTTTCGTTTATTTTGGCTAATTTCGAGCCCAATTAGTTAACCGTTATTTTGATGATATGATGAGTTTATTCGATTAATGTACGTACAGTCTTCCTTTCTATTTTTCATGGCTTAAGATTATCTTAACCAATAGGATTACTTCACTAGGTATTACTTGTGTGAATCTTCCCATTGATGTTTAGAACTTCAACTGATCAGTCTCTTATTGGCATATGTGCATACTGTGCAGGTACATCCAGCTGACGAGCCCCAAATAGGACGAAACGCGCGTCCTGGATTCCACTGATAGCTACTATCCATCTTTACTTACAATATGATTACTATTTTTATTATTACGCTTGCAAGGGTTTCAAGGAATTTATTTAGCTAACATCCCTGTTTTCTAATTCTTACCTATTTGATATTACTCTAAGTAATTCTTGACTAAATTATTTCATAGTTGAAATCATGATTCAATTGAAGCTAGACCACCATCGAAAACCTGTAAGCACTTTTCAATTGTAATACATTAGAATCTCTCTTATTTCATGCGGTTTAATATTTTTATTCTGATTATTAATATCACAATTTCATTTTATATATAAACTTATTCAAGTTAGTATTGAAACTAATCATACTATTTGAAAGCGTGAGTCAATTGAAGCTAGACTACCATGGAAAACCTGGAAGCACTGGACGGCTGTTTCGTCCTATTGTGGGACTCCCCAGCAGTGCACATCCACGACCTCGCCTCGCGAAATTCGAAACCAGGACCTACAATAGGACGAAACGGCCATACAGTGCTTCCAGGTTTACCTTGGTGATTTAGTTTCAATTGACTCACGCTTTCAATTATGAAAATACTAAATCTTCACAAAAAAAAACCCTTCTGATTATAATCTAATATTGTTACTTAGATTAATGAGTCAGTGTATAGAATGTATCAAACCCCTTTCAATCAATCATGTACACATACAACGTATCTTTCTAGGACAAATAAAAAGTATGTCAAATAAATATTTCATTGTACTTGCATTGAATTGCACCACTATAACCAAACATTTAATAACCTATGATTTTATGATGAGTTATTGTCCATTAATTATTCTTTTATTGGTTATGAATGTAGTCAGAATATAATTAGTGACTAATATGTCCATTCATATTCCTATTCAAACATTTAGCATTACATTCCTCTTAACTGGTTCAACTGTTAAACGTTGACTCAACAAATCAATCACAAACTAGTTCATGTTTACTTCTTTAATCTCTTGAGTAGAAGTAAGTTTAGCCATATGCAAAAAAATAGTATATGAAGTTATTGAGGGACGTTTATGCTTTAAATTAGACGAGTTTACAAGATAAAACAATGAAATTATAAATTAATTTACAATTTATCAAATCATTCTTTGTCAATAAGGTAGAAATAATAAGAGATAAGGTCAAATTTGGTGTTGCCAACACTGCTCGATTTATCATTTCCAAGTACATTAAATGTATTTGTATTTTATTTTTTTTTTTTAGAAAAATAAAAACAAACACAAAAGACCCTTGATATTTTAGTGAAGGTATTTTCAGATAGATTATAATACGTACAAATAATATGGTATGTATACAGTACTAATGAGATAACTTGGGACGTGGGCATAATAATATATTAGTGTTACAAGTGAAATTACGGAGAAGCTTTGGAGGATGTGGAAACCTTTACATATCTGGGCAG